AAATTATATTCCTCAGACTCCTCTAACAATCCTTTCTCAAGTGCACTGACATATTCGTCTTTTGCTCCTTGGATTGGACAACACACAAGACTACATGACAAGCTATCAAAAACTGAAGTTTTCAAAGGTCTCTCTCAAAGTGAAAGGGTGAGCTCTGTATGCCGTGAAAGCCAGGACGTTAATGAAGACCAGATTTTACAAATACTGGACTCTAAATCGGTAAATATTTATACCTGTAGTCTCACAGTATTCATGTAAGCACTCAATGTATCGCTATGAACTTTTTTTCCCATGAACAACACTAACAGATAGTAATTTCTCCACAGCACAAAAGAGAAGACCTGGTGAAGGCATGCAACTGTCTTGGAGTGTCAACAACTGGCTCACAAACAGACCTTATAAACAGGCTGGAGGAACTTCTCCTTTATAAGGAGGTTTACCCCAAAATGTTTGTAAAGCTGAAAAAAGCTGGAGGTACGATATTGTTTTTCAGTGTCAATAATTCTTTTGTGTAGTATAATTTTGTTACTTATCTTGTTTAAGTACCATCATCTATGCAGAAAACCTGTATGTAATTTGTCATTCTTGTCACTTTAACACAGGTGGAGTATTACACATGGGCTGCACCCATGGTGTTGTATATTATACATCACCATTATGGTGGCAGGAATCTGCACGGGACCATGGGGATGCTCTGCTAAGTTTTAAATATCCCCCCACTGTGTGCATCTCTGACATCGCTGGACGTGTTGCCAGGCATGTTAATAATCGTACGCAACAGAGATTTTTCCAGCCAAATGACAGCACTGGCAGCTGCAGGAAAGTTAACGGTAAATCTTGAGTGGTTAAAGAAAATCAGGAGGAAACCAAGACATGCAGAAGAACCCAAAGAAATGGACCAATTCTCATGTCCACACCCTGAGACAGGGACATCAGACCGGTACTCACTGTATGACAGATTTCAGCAAAAAAAACAAAAGCGTCCTGAAGAGAGACTGCGTAGTCTGAAACTGATTCCAGATCTGGCTTGTCTGATTAATTCTTCAGCAGCAGAACAAATAAACAGAGAGCTTTCCTCAAGTCGGTACTCACTGTGTCAAATGAAGGACATCCACTACATGTTCTCACTACGTCTGTTTTTTCACCTGCACAAACTGTGTCAAATGAAGGACATCCACTACATGTTCTCACTACATCTGTTTTTTCACTTGCACAATGAAAGACTGAATAGCTCCTTCATGAAGGAAATGGAAAAACAGAGTACAGCAGAGGCCATACGCATTGGATTAGATGGCAAACTGATATGTGGCCAAACAGGTAAGAACGTGAAGATTAAAAATTACACTGTAACATGAAATTTATTAAAAAGTTTGCCACTTTATTTATTAATGTTATGTTACTATTTCTCAATTAATTACAGGAACACACACAAGAAAAACTGACAACAGTCAACAGCAGTCCAGAAGTCCTCAGGCTCCAGTAAAGGGGGACAGTCTACTGACAGTGCTACTGTGGGTGGCTACCGTTTTTCAGTGGCAATGTTTCCAATTAAT